ATAGTTAAAAAAAACCTATTCTGCAAAGTAAAGTGGAACCTTAGTTGTGGGGTCTCTGGTGCTCTCTGAGCCTGGTTGTTTTCTTGCAGGCATTTTATAACCCAACTAGATAACATCATCAGTGCTAGGACCCCCTAAATGTGAAGCATTTCAAACCAAGAGTCACTTTCAGATTCTAAATATTTTTTATAGAATGTCTTTGTATTTATATGCCTTCATTTATATCTCATATTGAGATTGGCATGTTGTGTCTCTCATTGGTCGGGACAACAAAATTCATGGACCGTTGTGGTTCAGGGTTGAACTGTAGCTCTTTGGTGCCCTCTGAATTGATTGTTTTCTGCAGACATTTCATTACCAAACTAGGTAACATCATCAGTACTAGAGCTAGCAGGGATAACGTTACCTAGTTTGATAATGAAACACCTGCAAGAAAACAACCAGGCTCAGAGAGCACCAGAGACCCCACAACTAAGGGTCCACTTTCTTTGCAGAATAGTTTTTTTTATCTATGTATTTATTTAGAAATTTTATAAGGCCGCCCACTCACTCTCAGTGAGTTTGTATGGATTACAAAAAATAAAAACCCCATATACGACAGTAAAAACAATTACCTCTTTTACAATAAAAGCAAGGTTTCTGCTCTGTCAAATTTATATCCCAATTTTAAGTAAATTACTTGGATATAAAAATGCTAATTGGTTTAGAGGCAGAAGGGGAGAGGATTGGAGTTGTTTCTTTTCACAACAAAAACTCTCTGCATATCCTAGCACAGGACCTTCCTTGTTAAATGCTTCAGTTTTCTCAGCACTTTCTTGACTGACTGTGCAATGTTTCATGGTCCGTGAATGTTCTAAGAGTGGGAGACAAAGAAAGATCCATGTTTGCAGAGAGCTTTCCCTAGATAAAGGTCTTTTGTTTTTCCTTGGGGGAAAAATTCTTTCAGAAGTGAGTTAGACCTTTTTCTTGAGTAAGGATGCCCACACCCATAATGAAATGCGTGCATGAGCCCCCCCCCCGCAACCTCCCATCCCCCTGCACATGATTCCTGCCCCCCTGAGCCCATTTTCAGCTTCCATGTGGGTGCAGGAAGCTTTCCAGGCCCAAATCGGAAGGCCTCCTACACCAACCTGGTAGCCAAAATGGTGTGCATGAGTGCTGCGTGAGCCCCCAAAATGCAATGCGAGCACCCCCTGTGCATGTGTGCATGTGTCCCCCCCCTATGTGCCCTGCCCTCCGCGCATGCATGATAGAGACGCGAAGATGGGATGGCTGGCAGGAGGCATGCGTGCATGTGCAGTGGAGCTGGGCTGAGCTGGGGTGATTTAGAATAATTTAGAATACACCCAATGCTCCTCTTGTTCATGTCTCAAGAGAAGACACCCTTTCCTTATCTAAATCTGTTTTTCAGCGTCTCTTTTAATTCTTCCTCACCAAGCTGAGGGCATGGGAAATCACCATCCTTATCTGTCTTCCTCTATTTCTTCCTCTATTGGGTGTCTTCTAGACATTTTGATCGCTCAAAGTTTCCCAGTTAGCCTGTCTTAAGAGAGTCAGAGGAGTAGGGTGTTCCTATCAGTTCAGACCGGTTCGGCCAAACTTGTAGTAGCTTGGTGGCCTGGGTCGCTGGAACCGGCAGTGACGCAAGCCTGCCATGCCCCTGAACCAGTTCTCCCATAGGCACTGCCACCTTGTTTCTTGCTTCTGCGCATGCGAAGAGCAATTTTAGTAGTATTATGCATGCACACTCAGCACACACACGTCACAGCCCTGACCGAACCAGCAGTAGTCTT